CTATTAAGAAGTTTGCTGAGGCTTTTGAAGCTATCCCACGGGCACTGGCAGAGAACTCTGGAGTTAAGGCCAATGAAGTAATCTCTAAGCTTTATGCAGTACATCAAGAAGGAAACAAAAATGTTGGATTAGATATTGAGGTACACTGATATTTAATTGCTTTATTTTGTGAATGCAGAACTTAAAAATAGCAGTATGTGTAAAAGGAAAACCAGGAAAAGTGATCTGACTTGTGAACAAATGGTTTTCTTAAAATTAGTTTTTACTTAATATAGTAAGAGAAAATTTTTTTGTTTTGATAACCTTTTATGGTATGTATAGGGTAATAGTACTTAATGCTTATTTGTCTAATACTGTTTAAGAAGCCATTCGGGTTTTTGCTGTTGAGTACAAATATTTTCACATAAAAGAATTTAAGATGAAAGGTGGAAATGATTTTGTGTTGCCAGGCTGAAGTTCCTGCAGTAAAGGACATGTTGGAAGCTGGTGTTCTAGATACTTACCTGGGAAAATACTGGGCTATCAAATTGGCTACTAATGCTGCAGTCACTGTGCTTAGAGTTGATCAGGTAAGCAAAAAGCAAAATTTTGATCTTTGAACATGCTAATTTTAGGGCTGGGGATTTAACTCAGTGGTGCCACCGCCTGCCTCGGAAGCGTAGGGTTCTGAGTTGAAGCCCTGGTACCAAAAAAGAAAATGCTAAATTTAGTGTAGCTCGGTAGTGTATTTTTACAGAACTAGAATAGCATATTTATGACTGCATTTAAGGAAGTGCTTCTTTTCCTTCATTTTAGAGATGTTACAATATCCCCCAAAATGTAGATTCCATTTTCAAACTTTTTAGCCATAGAACCCCTTTGTATAATCATCTTGGTGATAAGTTAAATATGTGATATTAAGAGGGACTATGAAGAGAAAAAAATAAGGATGCAATATGGAAGGGTCATAAAGCCCTGAAGTAGATACAGATCCCAACTTGAAGGAACATGATGTGATGAGAGAACATGGGTATTTCAAGTTTTTCCTAGTATGACAACAAACAAACTGTACCTTGAGGTACTAAAAAGACCTAAAAGTTTGGAATATCACATTATTTCTTAGGGGTTCTTTTTTGGGTTGGTTTGGGTTTTTTGAGTTACTGTGTTAGAATCTATTTCAAATTTCTGAATTTTAAACTTGTAAACTGGCAGGGGAGCTTGCTAGTAGTGTGTGCTTTATGCACTATGTATAAAGATGTATTAAAGAATGTGACTACGTTAACCAGCTTATATTAGTATAATGAACAGTCTTATAAAAAGCTAGCTGTGGGGCCAGGGATTTAGCTCAGTGGTTCCAGCGCCTGCCTTGCAAGCACAAGGTCCCAAGTTTGATCCCCAGTACCAAAAAAAAAAAAAGCCAGCTGTAACTTGTTGTTTGTTTTGTTTTTTTGGTACCGGGGATTGAACTCGGGTCCTTGTGCTTGCGCACCAGGCGGCGAAACCACTGAGCTAAATCCCTGGCCCTAGCTGTAACTTCTGGAAAAAGACTTGCAAATCAAGTTTAAACCATTGGTTAGAGTAGTAGACGTATAGTCCTCAATCAAAAACATCTTCACCACCTAAGACCCTGTTAAAAACCAGACTGAACCTGGGCCAGGAATTTAGCTTAGTGGCACCACACCTGCCTTGCAAGCACAAGATCCTGAGTTCAATCCCTGGCACTGAAGAAAAAAAAAAATGAATCAGAAACGGAAGCTCAGCAGTTTTAATAAGCCCCTCTGCACACTGGGCCACCATAACACATCCTAGGCAAAAACTACCACTGAACCATATCCCCTGCCCACTCAGGTTTAGATTTCTTATCAAGGCTTCTGAATAAGGATGGTAGTAGTAAAGATGTTTAGTTTGTCACTTAAAACAGATGCCAGTCATAAATTTGGAAAGCAACAAATATGTTTATTTTAGCTTTAGCCAAATAAAGGCATTTGAGCCCAAAGCTATCTTCATGTTGTTTTGAAACATAAATCTTAAAATGTCAGTATAACTGCACTTGTTAAATATTGGTTTAGCAGATTTTGGATAAACTAGAGAGGTTGTGGTATATATATTACCAGAGAGTGGATTACTTGGATTTTTGTGTATCAACACTTTTCCTGCTATTTGAGTGGTTCTCAAATAACACTAGACAATGTGTTAAACTTTATATATATTTATCAACTACTTTAGATTATAATGGCAAAAGTGGCAGGTGGACCCAAAGCTGCTGAACCACAAGGAAATTGGGATAAAGATGGTTGGCAAGATGAAGCTCATGTATAAATAGCAAATCAGGTGCCATACAGACTGATTTATACCAGTGATGCATGCAGATATTTTCCTAGTCTGCTTGAGTTGTCAAAGTGCATGTCTTGGAATGTCTTTCACTAATCTGTGTGGATTTTGTTGCTGTTTGCCCACAAAAGTAGGAAGCTTTCTCAAGCTGCTGAAGTTTAAAATCTAATCTCCAGGGAGCAACCTAGCAAACTTTGTTACAATGTTTCATATGCAGTATATAAGAAATTGCTTATTTTGAGAGGGTTGCTTGATCTTAAATAAGGCTAACTAAAAAATAATTATCTTCATTGAGAAGGTTGAGTTTATAAGCATACTTCTCTGGTGTTTGTGTTGTTACGCAGATCATCATGGCAAAACCAGCTGGTGGACCCAAGCCTCCAAGTGGGAAGAAAGATTGGGATGATGACCAAAATGATTGACTGGTTTAATTCTTACTGTAGACCTAGCATTTGTAGTAGTACTCTAGGAATTCCTAATGTTTTCTTACTCTCCTTAAATTAAGAGTGTTTCCTTGGCTGAATGATACAATAAACATTGTTACTGCTAAAGCCTCTGTCTGGTAATGTTACTGGATCTAAGTGACCTGTTTGATCTTGTTAATCACTTTCAGTGTGGGATTTAATATAGTGACCTGTTTCCCTTGTGTGTATTGCCTGCCTTCTATTTTTGTAAGTTATTAATACAGCCATTGTCTTACACGTAGTCACATGCTTTGTATAGGGAATGGCAGAGCTGAGTTGTTGTGAAGACCCAGATGGGCCCAGATAACCTAAAATGTTTATCTAGCTCTTTACAGCAAAAGTCTGCCAAACCCTGGACTAGATCTCTAGTGTTTTCCTCAGTTTTGGAAAACCTGAGAGTGATTTGTTTCATTTGCAGTAAATGATCTGTATGAAGGCAAGATTCAAGTAGCAAAGTATAAAAGAAATGCTTATGGGGCCAGGGATGTAGCTCAGTGGTGCCACACCTGCCTGGCAAGTGCAAGGTCCTGAGTTCGATCCCTAGTACCACAAAAAAAAAAAAAGATGCTTATGATGCAATTGAAATCTATTTCCTGACATGTCCACATTAAGGAAGTCAGTTTTCATAAAACAGATCCACCTTAAGACTTTATAGTAAGGAGTGCTGAAAAGCAAAGAACATGGGACTGGAGGTTACATCTCTGGTAAATCACTTGCCCACCATGTGCAATTCTTTGGATTCTGCCCCCAGCACGGAAAGGAAAAAATATGTAAAATGTTAAATCACACAGGTTTTTATAAGATGTGGTAGGTACTACACATATTGGTTATATAAGGCAGGATCCTAAATAATACTGTTTGAAACAATAGTTTTTGGTATTTCAAAAGAATTTTGGAAGCAATATGGATGAGTAAATTCATTGGGTATTAGGAATGATACATCTCAGAGCCATGGCAAGATGGGTTTTTCAAAGAATAGAGAACTTTACAAGAAGTTTGGACAGGCTTGGTGTACTTATGCCTCTGGACTGTATGTAACTCAGAGTGGCATAATGGGTGGTGAAAAACCAATTTATTAGAGGGACAGTTTACAGGCTTTCTCTAGCATGCTGGTGTAAAGGCAGAGTTGGTGTGAACTACAGTCTGAAGTGAGATGCTCAGCTTGTTTCGTGTCTGCTTTGGGTCAGCTACACTAGTACAGAGCAAGTGCAGCTTATGCCCACTGGATGCATTAAGAAGGATCAGAGACATTCTCCCAATTGCATACTGATGCCAACATATCTTCTAAAATTATGCCAAATATCTGTGCTTATAAAATTAAACACAATGTAATGCAGTTTCATTAGCCGGTCACAAATCATTACCTAGCAAGATAAACATATAACCTTATAAGTAATAAAGCACCTTTTCGGGGCAAGTCAGTTTATTGATATGTCATGACCCACCACCCATGTATTAAGCACAGAGAACTTAATTCAGATTTCCTTTGCAGAAATAAAGCAGGAATAAAAACCACTATGACAATAAAAATACCACTGAATTCATTTTCCTTCAGTAGTTAAATAAACATTTCTTCTGTCATGTACTTAAGTGAAGATGATTTATAGTCTTAAATTTTTTATTGTTATTACAGCCATTGTAAAAGCTATAAACGCTTCCAGAGGAAACACTTATTACAGTATTCTCTCATAAAATAGGAGGTAAGCTTGTGAGTTCAGTACTTCAGTTGTAGACACAGCTTGCACATGTGTATCGCTGATGTGAAACCATTGCCCTTTGGTTGATTCCATTTCAAAATCTGTCAAGAGGAAATGTGAAGTTAAATATAAGTGGAAAGATAAAAGTTCTTTTTATTTTCGTTTTGCTATAACCTTCTAAATGCCTTAATTTTCCAAGACAACTTACCTTGTGGAATATCACCATGAAGAACAAGATTAGAGAGATGATTATTTGCAGTTCTTGCCTTGGCGTAGGCAGTGTAATGCCCTGACCTCATAGTGCCACTATGTTCAACAACTCCATATAAGGAATATAGCACTCTTGTATTTTCTTCAGCAACGTTCTTTAAAAATAAACAATCAAAAAGTTAGTGTTAGTCCCATTTACACAGGTTAATATTGGAAGACAAGTGTATACCATTTATAGTCTTTTAACATTTATTTAGTATAGAAATTATTTATGAATCTGAACTTAATTATTTTCTCCCTGATTCAGCAACTTCTAGATTGCCCTCTGGTCTATAAACCGCCAGGCTTTAAAACACAATCTTTACTGATCCACCACTTTTCCTTTTTAACAAAACCTCTAACATACACATTACATCATCTCCACAACACAGTGAAGTTCCCAACACTTCTTGAAAATGTTTACCATGACCTCTATACTGTCTAATCCATGAACAGTTTCGTGTTTTTCTCAATTCTTGATAGTAAGGCCACTTAGTCCTTTCCTTGAAACTTAAACACAAGGCAATGGTTTTTTAGGCCAAATACGGATTTCTAATGATCTCATGTTTATTCAAAAGTAACAAAGTATTTGCTGGCGAGCTGAAGTAACCCAACACTAGCATGGTAACAATAATAATTCACTACCCACCAACTCTGGAATTATACCTTTCTTGGAAAACTAAATTGGGAGAAAGCTCATTTTGAAACTTCATTTTAAAATTCACACATTAAGACTTAATTGCCTTACATGGAAGTATCTGAAATCTATAGTATAATAGCATAGTTTCTCTGATGCTCCAGATTTTTTGAAATCTGGTGATCTGCCCTTTTACGGTACTTATCTTTTTCACTCAGATGTTCCTCAGTCCTGTCCTTGGCTCTCTGAACTTGCGAGGCTGTACATAAGGGATCCCATTGCACATTTAAATACCGCCTACATATTAATTTCCAAATCTTCATCTCCAACACTAACTTCTGTTCTGAATCACACTGCAATAGTGCATACTACATCTGTTCTGCATATACCATTCTTGATACTCAACCATATTAAACAGATTATCCATTAATATATCTGCCCACATTTTCTGTGCCAGGAGTTAAGGAGCTAGTATCTGCCACAGTATTGGGTGTTCAAAATAACACTGATCTAAAATAAACTAATCAAAATGATTCATCACAGATACCAAAGTTATAAAAGTACAATGCTCAAAGGGTCACTCCACTCGATTCTTATCAGCCTCATATTTAGGAGCTATGGGAGTATTTGATAAACTGATTTCGCCACTAAAGGATTTTCCTAAAAAAAAACCCCAAAAAACCCCACTTTCACCTACCTTACACTTAAGAGTACAAAAAGGAGCCAAATCTAAGATTTCTGGAAACTGTATGTGTTTGTTAACTTTACGTAGGCTAAAACCAGCCTAAAAAAGAAAAAGATTTAAATTATTTTTCTAGAAAGCCATACACGTTAAGTATACCCTAGTTCATCACGGATGCCCAAAGAACACTAGCATCCAGCCCCATTTCAGTCTTCTCGGGAAACCTGTTCCTACCCACTACCTGATTCCAAGTTGGTTTCTTCTGTCAGGTGCATATGCATAGGCACACATGCACATATGCATGCCAACACATTTTCAGGAGGCCACTCCTGTGAGGCATCAATGTTTCTGCTTTAGTCACCCAGAAAAGTCAGCAACAGCAGGATTCTTGAACTCTCAGTCTCACTCTAACAAGCTTTGTTTAACCGATAATAAACAGCCACTCAAGTAACCAAGCTCATACCAGCCACAAGTTAGAAAATGTTCTGAAGATCCTAAAAGTACTTTTGGAATTTGGGACAGAATTTCAAAGTTGTAATGCTATAGCAAATCTTGCAAAAGTACCAATATTTTCTATCAAAAATCAGTAAAATTAAGACACCACACAGAAATAACTATAATATTCCTAATTGCATACAGGTAGTATACTGATTTATTTTTTTTAATCTGACATTAAGGTTAGAGCAACATATTAAAAAGGGTAACAAGTTCTAGTAAATGTGAGAAAAGACTGCCTAAATTTCTCTATGAAAGCACCTTTGTCTTGCCATACATACTTTTCTACTTCTTTGAAATTAGAATTACAAAAAAACAGAAAACCAAAGAAACAAGAGACAAAATAGGCATTATATACTTAAAAACAAGTTTTTGGTAATAAACAAGGGGTACCTGCTGAAATCTTTTTAAATGAAGAGTGAGAACAGGCGGAGCAAGAGAAATTAGCATTTGCTTTTTAGCATTAGTGTAAACATGCTTCCTTTCACCTACAGAAAAGAAGAAATTCTAGCATGTAAAAATCATTTTTAACCTCTAGAACATTCAATTTTGCTATAAAATACATTTCAAACATCTAAAACAAGGACCAACAAACTTCTGTAAAAGACAACATAATAAATATTTTACACTTTGTGGACCAAAAGGCAAAATCAAGGATATTTTCTAAGCATTTATGTATGAAAAATTCTTTCACAAATTTTTACAGATGGAATAATTAATAGTCTGATCATACTAAAAGAATGGAATTATTTCTCAGAGACAAAGTGTTGCAAAGTGAGTATTCCCTACCTTATTATAAAATATATATTCAAGAAAACCATTTTTGAAGTTTTCTTTTTTGAACTCAATGGTAGAGTGCTTACCTAGCAGACACAAGACCCTAGATTCAATCCCCAGCACCACAAAAAAAATTTTCTGTGAAGTGGAAGATCAGCAAGATGGCTAACTAGTGATGCCCAGCACATTTCTCTCCACCAAAATGGATGAAAACAAAGAAAAACATGTTTTATTTAGCTCAGAGACTATTCCAAATGCAAGTAAAATTGAGCCTATACACATTTGTTTGCCAACAGCTACTGTAAAGGAAATAAAATTGCTGTAAGATCAAAGCAATTTACTTTTTGTAATTACATGTACAGTTTTTAAAAGCTAGGATTTAAAAACACTTCAACTACTCTACTAAATACCTTTCATAGTCCAGGGCCCCTCCCTATCCTACTTCTCCAAACTCAAAACAAAGGAAGCAAGAGGGGCTGAGGGAAACTGTCACTATGTCTCTGCCCATATTTGAAAGGCAAAAGAAAGCATGGTCCTCCAACACCTTGCA